GAAACAGTGATTGTTGTTAACTTAGCAACCACAGAAAGAAAAAAAGGAACTTTTTTTTTTAACAAGTAATCAAAGGAAATATGGGCAGTTTGTATAGAGTGATTTTTTTTTATGAGATAAAGTTGTTATCATGTGATTAGCCAAGTAAATCACAAGTTCAATGTGGGAGGAAATGTAATACCATGATTGTTGAATAATTTCAGAGCCCAAAAATATAGTTTTGCTGACTTGAAAGAAAGAGGTTCATGTTTATGTTACATGACTGACAGATATTTTCACAATGACAATTCACATGGCAAAGAAGTGTACCATATAGAAAAGAAATTGGCCCAATGTTATTGGCTACATTGGGGAAATGATCTGAAATTTATGTTTACACAATAAAATTAGTTAAATCTTATGATGACACACAAAAAAATGCATGAATATAGCATAAGTATCATATCTGGTATAAAAATTAGAACTGTGTCATGCATGCATTACTTGATTAGCTCATAAGACAATGGCTAGACAGAAGTCAATTCACCGTATGAATGCATGTTGAAAATTTAGTTAATGTTGAAAGCTGAGTTAACAGTTAAGGGGGGGGGGCTTAGTGGTCACCTTGTAATTGGAAATAATCTAAAAAAAAAAAAAAACTGTCTCTTTCTCTTGACTTAGAAGATTCTGATTTAGTATTTGATCAATCCTGCTCTTCTTGTCACTATATGCCCACATGTTGGACGATAAACTTTTGAACATACATGGTTCTTAAAATCAACATTTTAAAAGGTTCAATTGCTTCTGTTATCCTTTCATTAATAAAACATTGTCACTATTGCATTGATTTCTGTTTTTCTTTTTACTCTTCATTATTTGGACAAGTCATCATTCCTGCATATTTGCATAAAACATGCACTTTCCAACCAAATACATCATCAGCTGTCCTGTATGGATTTTCAAATCACAATGTGGCCATCAGAATCAGAGACAAAACAGAAGCAACCAAACAAACCCAAAGTGTACTGTTACTCAATCAAAAAATGTTTATTAATATATCAACCAGGTAATTCCATTCACACAGAGCCAGGTACGCCAAGTACCCATGTGATTCCAAATTACATCTAAGGGAAGTTCTCCAAAACCTACAACTAAAAAACAAATCACTTTGTATTTTTCTCATGAAATATACCTAATGAGAGTTAAAGAATATATCAGTTGAAACCTTGTCTTAACAACAGCAAGTAAAAGAGGTTCAGTTATCCAAAGTATATTGGGAAAATGAATGAGTTTTCTCAATGTCAAAGGCAATTTGTGTTGACTATTTTTATTTGGCTTACAGTAACAAATAAAACAGAATTATGCTATCAAATTAAAACCAGCCTTAAGATTAATTCCCTGTTAATCTTTATAATTACATTAATATGAGCTCATTACTGAAGCAAGCATAACACCAGTGTTTTAGTTTTACTACCAGTGTTAATGTTTTATAAACCCTTTAAGATTAAAAACTCCTTGATTTATTGTTGGCTAGTTAAAACTACTCTAATTCTCTGCTATCACCTCTGAGTTCAAAATAAATAAATTATCAGGAGTTGAGTGACATCACTAGTACTCAAATTTGACGAGTCAAATTAAGGTTATTGTGAGTGACACATAGTGGCAGACAGGTATTACAGTTCAAGTAAGTTGTTTTGTTACAGTATGAAATGAATGCACAAATTTCCATGAGGAAATGTGTGATGTTTAATCAATGCCAAGAACAGTTCATGACAATCTTCTCCATAACTGGAAACTAAAAGAATAAAAGCACATGATCATAAATTATCATTATTCTTGCTCAAATTTTACTAAGTTGGTAAAATTAAACATTTTTCTGAGCCATTTTCCTATGGTTTAAATTAAATTATTTTATGATGACCTAGATGATTGTCAAGTTCTTCATGGAACTTTTCAGAACAATCAGATTTGGAAAGAATGTATGGTTGTTAACAAGGGAGGAAGATGTAAACTATGAATGGGAGAACAAAAAGGTACAGAAGTTTAAATATTTGGGAAGTGTTTTAACAGAGGATGAAAAATGTGGTACCAAAAACTGGACACACATTGGAATAACAAAATATGTATTCCAAAAGCTAAGCAAATTACTAAGAAACAGGAAAATTTCTGTGAAAAATAGAAGAATGGTGAACTGCTATGTAGTATGAATATCTTGTGTACTGAATAATTTCCTCACAGATGAAGAAAAGACTTTAGGCAATAGAGATGTAATTATACAGAAGAATACCATGGATAGAGTATGTAAGCAATGGGGATGTTTTAAGGAAAATGGAACCAAAAAGATAATTAGAATCAGAAAGAGATAGCTGAAATCTTTAGGACACATAATGAAGAAAAAAGGCTTGGTGAATTTGATACTCACAGGACATATCAAAGGCAAAAAGGACAGTGGGAACCCACAAGTAACATAATGAGCTTGTGTAAATGGAAGGCAGAACAGGAAATGGGGAGGATAGTAAAAATACAACTATTACTGAGAGCTAAAAAGGAAAAATTGTGGAGATCTGTGATTGCCCATATCTGGAAGAAGCATAGCACATGATAGAAGTAGAAACTAATCTCCTCTGCAAGTTAGGTTTTAGTAGGTTACATGGTACCAGTAATAGAAACTAATTAGTGACCTGACCTATTAGACTAAAAGTAAAAACACCCATTCTCCTTAGGATTCAACAATCATTAGTGGACAACGACGACAGCTGATAGATTTTGTGTCACCCTATTTTCCTATCAGGCAACTTCTCTCACCAAAGCAAACTGCAGAGCAAGAGCAACATTGTAAGATGAGAGCTTCGTCCTGGCTACCAGGCACTCTAATGCAAATGTGAGAAGGACTGCCTCTCCTGCATAGGTCACACCAGTCACTTGAGACCCTAAAACAGATGTGGAAAATACTCCTGCGTCTCTGCAAAGCCAAGCTATAACAAACAACTCATAGATTATTATAGCTTCATCTGAAGTCATGACTTAGATAGTCAGGAAAAGTTGCCTACATCAACTCATATCTGTGTATGCCTAGATTCAGAAGTGTGACACCTGATATCAGACAAGGAATATCAGAGTACCCTATATGTTGCAGTCTATAAATTCTGCCTCTTACTCTGTAACCCTCTACCTTGAGTGGCTCTTGTACCTTATACAGGGTAAACATCATTGTAAAAAAGGAAAAGAAATAAAATGCTCTTTGTTTCACAATAAATTGCTGGTTGTCTCAAGGTGACCCATTTCTTGGTTTAGAATTAAGACTTGCCCTTCTCATAGATGAGTTGCCAGCCAAAGCTAAAATATACAAGATTTACACATATGTGGTAAAAGAAAAGATGGATTCATGCCATTCTCAAGGACATTAGCATAAAGTGAATCCAAACTTGTCCCAACTGAAATTTGAACTTTTCCATTTTTGTCCTTTTAACCATTAGGTCACCTGCACCTCCCAAATACATAGATATAGGTTAGCTGGAATTTCAATAGATATTTAGGATGCATGTCATTGCAAGATGAGTTTGATTCACATTTAGTGCACCATTTACATGACTTTGTACCAGACTAAGTTAAATTTAGTCGTCTCTTTGTAGTAATTTCCTATAAATACTGTATGACTGATATGAACAGTATTACAGACACAGACAGATATGAACTTATTAACATTGATTTACTTAACTCCAAAGAAACATATCTAGACAGACAGATCAATGGAAAAATTGATAGATATAAACAAAGTGAAGTCTGTAAATAGACCTGAATAGATTTTGATATATACAAACTGATTGAGACAGATACGAAACAGAGTTAGTCTTAACAGTTTCTTCTGTAAAATCATTTCAAATGTTGCTCTCTGCAGCAAGACTCATTTGTTACACCAAAACAGAAATCAACAAAAGAATTAAGCACAAATATGATCAATTCATCACTGTATAATAGCTAATTTTATATCTGTTTGTCTTTGTTCACTATATAATAGCTAATTTTATATTGGCTTGTTTCAACTGTGGTCACTTTAAGGCTAATTTGGAGTCACAATTATCCTTGCCCATTTATATAATATCCAAATTAAATTTGGAAGAAAAAGAAATGTCATCAACTACCCTAACTGGACTTAACTCCTTTACCACCAGCTTAAGAAGCCAGTGTCTTTCTCATTAGGCTATAGAGAAATTGTTTATATCTTGTATCAATATATAACAATAGATTTTTGTTTTGTTTTTGTTCTTTTTATCCAAAGCAAATTTATAAGGTAGAATCATTCTGAGATTAATTAGGGAAAGGAGAGAAAAAAAAACTATAATCCTGCTAGGGAAAAGAAAAAGGTACCAGACTTTATTGTCTACAGCAGTAGTTCTCAGCATGTTTGTTGTTGTCTATGCACCTTTTTCCCCATATCTCAGAATGTCATACAATGACTTCATACAGTTGAAAGTTTGGGGGCTTATGCCTTTCCCAAGGACATTAATAACAAAGTTAACAAAATGAAGGTAACATTTACCTACAACCTTCTCTTTTTTTTCTCCATCCATTCAGTCATTTTGTATACAGCCTTAATCTTTTGGTTAAAAAGAAAAAAAAATCAAAGTAGGATTTATACTCCACAAAATCAACTATTTAAAATTCTAGATCCCCTGAATCTTTATGGTCTTAAATTAAAAATGAGGACATTAGTCACAGTAAAATGCAAAATACCAGAGCAAACAAGACTGTCCTTTTTACATTTTTCCTACATTTCAATAGCAACCAGGGGACAGTAAATCCAATCAAAGTGCTAACGACCTGCATGTACCTGGTTTTAATTAAAACTTAGCAACAAGTCATGACACCAAATATTGCAAGCATCACCATGGCAACGCACACTGCAGCTGCTGTTGCTGCTACTAGGAATGGGGGAGTGAAGAGATGTTATGAATAATGCACATTGAATGCCCAAGAAGGACACACAGACAGACTGGCAGGCACAGACAGTGCACTTTCTACTACAAGTGGTTATGGCTATTGTACTGGGGGTAAAGGGAGAGAATACATAGAAAAAGGGGAAAGAGAGAAATAAGAAGTGATATAGATATAAAATAAGGGGAAGGAGTAAAGAAGGAAGACTCAGTATCAGTAGAAAACAAAACAGAAAGAGAGAAGGAGAAGAAAAAAAAAGGGAGAATTTCAAAGGAGAACAGTGAGAGGATACTGAAAAAATGTGTACACAATAGAAAGAAAGGTAAGAGAAGAAAGAGATAGAAAAAGTAATATAAGATAGGAATAGGAAGAGAAAATGGAAAATGGATTAAAGAAAAAAAGGAAGATAGAAAAGGAGTTAGAGAAGCAAAAGAAAAAGAGAGATAAAAGTGAAAAGAGAAGAAATGTAAATTGAAGGAAGGACTGAGCAAAAAAGGTGAAATAGAAGAAGAAATAAAAAGAGAAGAGATAAGTAAAGAAGAGGATGAAGGGAAACAGAAAAACAGATACAATTGAAAGTGGAGTGAAATATAGGGAAAGACAGCAGAAAAATAGGGATGCAGAAACAAGAGAAAAGAAATAGAAAGTAGAGGTAAGAAGAAAAAGAGGTGAAGGAAAAACACACTTCCAGAGAAGGTCTTCTATGATGGCAGTAGCCTATTTCCACAGAATATTATGCCCCAACACTGTACAGAAAAGGTTCCAGGAAAATGAAGAAGTTTTCCCTTTTCAGATTTAAATCACATTGAGCATTTATGGAATGTGTTGGACCAACAATTTCACTCTACTACAGCTCTAGAACTATCTTATATAAGTTAAAAGACATCCATATACGAAATCCCAGAGGAAACCTTAATATTTTGGCTCATCATTGTGTATGTCTGCATACTGGAATTGGTTTGAAAATAATGCTTTGTATCTGATTATGTCGGCCCACAATGGTATAGGCAGACGCTGGTGGTATGGCAGTAGATGGTGAGCCTTCTTGTCAATAACAAATTATATTTTTGCCTTGATACAAATAGCAACTGAAAGGCAATAATGCAAAATAGTATATGATGTGAAAACATGTGTCACTAAATTATCCCATGCAAAAAAAAATGTATTTATTGATATTCAACAAAGTTTGCTAAATATTTACAGAGACCAAACAATGGATGTAAGCACAGTTAGGTGGTGGGTAATGCATTTTAGCAGCAGTGGTGAAAATGTGTGTGAAAAGCCACAGATTGTTGTTCAGTGATTGTTGTATCTGTAGTTTCTGTGAGTATAAATATAAATCTTTACTTTCAGAGCATTTTTTTGTCTGGGCATGTGTGTTTATAGATAATAAATATATGTTTGACCTAACCAAAAAGGGATTTCAAAATACATTCTATTACGTAAGATTTTGTGAACTCAGTCTGGTCAAGGATTTTTCAGCACTCAGTACATTTATATACAACAGGGTACAGTGAGTGTTGGCAATAATAATAAGATGCTGCTCAATGTAAAATAACTTATTAAGAATTATTATATATCTATTCCTCACAGTTAAATGTTACTTAAAGTTTCATGCACATATCAATCGTCAGGCACAAATTAAAACTGTCTGACCTAACAATTCTTTATTCAAAAGCTACTGGAGTAGTCCCTTTTCAAATGGAAAAAAATAAATAGATATTTTTATTTTATTTATTTATTTCTTTACAGTTATTTTTAGCTATTCCTTTTTCCCCACATGAAAATGGAGTATCCCTTCTTTATATATCTCCACACACACAATCTTAAACAGAAAAGAAAGTGATCTTCATGTGTGAAACTCATTGGCACTGTCTAAAGATAACTTTACATGTGGAACTTATAATCATAGTAAAGATCTGTGTCATTTCTAATTCAGATTGTGTTCCCACTCTTTTCTTGATTTTATTTTTTGTTTTGTTTCAAGGCTATTGAGCACTGTTAAGTTTTGTGTTGTTCATATAGGTTTCCTGATTGGTTCCCCCCCTCTTTTGTTGGCTTTTCTAACCAGTTTTGTTATTTTCTTGGTATATAACAGTAAACTCTGAAGTCAACATCAAGCTGTGAAATTCCATTTTATGCTTGAATGCAATCTTCAAGTCTGAAGATTGCATTCAAGCATGAAACAGACTGTTGCCACTTGGAATTGACCTCAGAGTCCACTTTTATATTTACATACATTCTATCCCTGATGTTGAGCACTTTTACCCATAGTTATAGCATACCTTAAAACTATATATATATATATATATATATATATATATATATATATATTTCAAAGTGGAAAAAGTTTTAGTGTGATGCATTTAGTCCCTTAAGACTTCAATGGACTAAGGGACAAAACATATCAAAAACTTTTTCCCCATTTCATCATACATCTTTCCTCCAAAAATCATTCTCGATATATAAAATTTATACATCATTATCCCATATATATATATATATATATATATATATATATATATATATATATATATATATATGTGCTGTAATTTTTTTTACTCAACTCAATTCCCAAAATCAATACTTTAATATTTGGTCAATGAACTATGAGACTGGTGCTAAGATCACATCAACTTACTGTTGAATTGGCTAACCATAAATTCTATGCTAACAGTTTCTTTTCTTGCACTTCTTGCTTGTGGAACTCACTTCCAGCTTCATGCTTTTTGGCCAACTTTAATCTTCAAAAATTTAAATGCAATGTCAATCATTATTTACTGTCCTCCAGATTACTCTTTTTTTTTCCCGCTCATTAGTAATGTTTCTGTTCTTCTACATTCAGTAACTCCTTGTGTCTTAATGCTTTTATGGGGTGAAATTGTTTTTTTAAAAAAAACAAATTTTTTAAAAGTTAGACCCCAAAATTTTCAGCATCCCATGATGTTCACCGACTTTATGCATACAGTCTTGTCTGTATTGAACAAAATGGAAATGTTATATGATTCATATGAAATTTAAAAAAGAGCACAAAACCACATCTTAATATCTACAAAGAATAAACCAATTACTGCAATATATGATGAAAATCATATGTTTAGATGGTTAGGTTGCTTGCATACAATGCACAGATCTCACAAAATAGTGCATAATTGTCAGGGGAATGAGTATCTCTTCTCCAAGTAATTAATGACTTGATTACAACCATCAGAGATTCAGCTTCATTCTACTCCTGTGCTTTCATCAGAATCTTCATTATGACTGATATTGTTCTCTGATGTCAGGAGTTTGGACTAGGTCCTAGATTTCCCACAGACTTTTTTAGAAGGGACCTGCTTTCCTGAGGTTGAAGCTAAAATTGATCCTGTTATCTCACTGAATATGGCTGTAAAGAGGATTTGCCTCAAAGAGTTTTAATTTTACAACAGTTGGGCTATATTTTGTCAAAACTGACCCATCAAAAGGACAACTGATAAGGACAATCACACTAGAATACAACATCCACTAGTTGACTGGCATGGGAAATTAAATAATCATTCATGTGGGCAGGCAGCAATAGTAGCAGTCAACAGCAAAATGTATATTGAATGCAATGCATCCTGTAGGACAAGCTTCTAATGAGTCATAAGTATTGTGATTTAAGTACAAGGGTGATTGCCTGCCATATAATTCCATTAAACTGCTCACACTGACCATTGCCTTGAGGATTATAAGAACCTAGAAATACCTGTGAAAATATCACGGTTTTCCTATTTGAATTTTCTGATGAATCTTAATTCTTAAGTTAATGACTGAATAAGCTCTTGGCATGTTCTATGACAATAAAATATCCATAGAAATTCCCCTCTCACATTGTTAAATATTTGAAATGCACATCTTTACTTTGAAACACAGATTCCCATACGATCACCAAAGTTAAGCAACATCAAGTTTGGTCAGTACCTAGATATGTGAATGATTGGGAATATCAGGTGCTGTAAGCTTTAATGTAGGGGTGATGTCATGGATAATGGCTCAGAATTGTTAATCGGAGAGCCAAATTCCAATTCCATGTGTGTTCATTATATACTCAAATACCCTTGGGAAAAGTATGAATCCACCTCTTCTCCTCCCAGCTATGGATTAATTAGTAAGATTTGTATCATTAAGTCATTATTATCTTCAAAAAGATTCTTACAATCTAAAAATATATTCTGGTTTTAAATAACCTGAAAAAGGTTGATAAGTCATAAAAAACAAATCAATTGAATCAATAAAAACTTCTAAGTAACTAAGGGAGACAACCAGAATTATAAGAAGACAGTTGCTTTAACCAAATGTGATGCATCCGGTCAATGAAACTGTGGTTTGCTTTTAGCCCAAATAGAGAACAAAGACAAAACACTTTTTACATCCTCAACAGAGAATGGTGGGTTCTTTTTTCTAACAATGGATAATGTGACTATTTGCAAATGGAATGAGTCCCACTATTTCCACTTCTGGGTAGGGATGTATTGTAGCAATTACAAAAAATAAATAAAATAAACCCACTTCCCATTATTCAGAAACTAAAAACAGGAAAAAGAAAGACATTAATCAGCTGACCTCAATTCCAGAATTTCCAAAATATGCTTTTACTGGGATCAGACATCGACATGTGACTGTTACCCTGAATTCAACATGGTCAAGATAAAAAAAAAAAAGATATAAATTATAGACTCTTACTGTCCCTTCACCTAAAATACAGCATCAATACTTGCTTCTTATAGTTTGTAGTTAAAGGAGAACCTGATAGACTTCACTTTGTGGATTCCTGCTGTAATGAAGAAAACCTACCATGTCTCTGTTTGTGGACTATAGGCACCCTATGAAACAGAGAATTCCTTTTTTTTTTTTACACCCACCACAATAGCATTCATGTAGTATCTGGATGATAAAGAGAACGGTACAATTTAGCTAATATATTAGAACCAACAGCAGAATGGTATGTCTAAACAAAATATCTGTAGTAACATTATTTTTCTAGAGAGGCACTTTTTCAAGACTGTAGCAAAGAAGCTTAATCCTATATCTCTGAATTTTATTAGTCTGCATAGAATCAAACATCAATGCCAGTAAGAAAGATATAATGGCTTCTAGTTAAGTAATGTCTCACCACTTATGCAGGGCCTCCACCATAGCATATGCCGCCTTTTCTATTGCTGAATGTTTTTGTTCATTGGTATTTAATGTCCTTGAAAAGAAAGCCACTAGTCTACCAGCTTGAATTAAGGGAGCAGATGCATCCATCTCTACAACAAAGGGAATTGTTTCATCAATAAAATGCTCCACAGAGTTTTCTATCACAGCTTTCAAGCATTCAATTGCCTTTTCAGCCAGCTTGGATAGTGGAAATATCTTAACTGGTACAAGAGGAGTAATCATCTCAAAGTAATTGGCAATCCAATGGGAATAGTATGAGAACATAACTATAGAAAGATAGAGTGAATCCATATCCCAAGGAAAAGGAAGATCTTTTAGTGGCTAAACACTTTCTGGATCAGGTTTCATTTTATCTTCAAAAATAGTATAAACCAGAACATCCATGGGAGTTCAGAGAATGTGGACTTAGCATAATTGTAAGTCAAGCTGAACTTAAGCAAATCTTCTGAGGTTAAACTCATTCTTGCTTAATTTTCCCATAATTATATTATCCAGTGAACCAAACATGTTAGAAAGAGAGGTGTTAGTAATGAATCTGTCTATAATGCACTGAAAGGAGACAACTCCAATGGTTACCCCAAAAGATTGCTGCAGACTTAGGATAGCTGACCACAAGCCTTAAAAGTAGTTTCAGGCTTATCTTCATCAAGTATTAAGACTTAATGGTAGACAGATATCAATTCAAGTGTACTAAAGAATCAATATTATAACCCAATGTTCACCAGTTTATCAATCTATGATAAGAGGGAAAGCATCAAACACTGAGAGTAATCGAATACCATTCTTTTCTTGTGTTGCTCATTAGTGGTTACTACATCAGCTCATCAAAGGGAAATGCTTAGCTCAGCTATCCCTTCTGCAAACAGCTTCTTCTCTTTGTAAGTTATGTGTTTATCTGGAGAATGTAATATGGTAGGCTCAGTAGCCATCATTAGCTACAATCATTGCTAAGATTAGTAAAAATTAAAAAGGGTAAACAGAAAAATATCCATTTAATAGAGGTTTATCTCCTCTGAAATTTACACAGATACTCTGATGTTGTTTCTTAAAGTCCTGTCCAAGGATGACATTATTGTCATCAGTCACATGACTGAGTATGGTCATAAGCACTTGACCAGTTCTCTTTACATTTCTAGGTTCAAAGCTGGGGAGGTATTCATTCATACAATACATGTCTTAGGCAACTAGAACAGACAAAGCCCATCTCTATCAAGGTCAAACAACAAATGATGTACTCCAACTTGAAGGCTCACCTTGGTCACAGACACATGACCATTGATCCATTGGAGGAACCCTCCACTGGCCTCAGTCTTGGAAGCCCTCCACCCAGCATCATCACTGCACAGGCTGTATATATAGAGAACCCAGTCTACCCCGTTGACCCTAAAGGGATGATATCAGCCCATATTTCAGACAAACCCAAATTCTTCAGCTCTACATTCCCCAAACAATATCCAGAAGTTTCACAACTACAATGAAGTTGAAACCATAGATAGATTACTGGTGTGAGCATACAATTCTAGCCTCCAAATAAGGAATTGACATAGAAAGGTCTCAGTACTAGCCCTGACCAAAAGGGCTGTGACCCTCTTTTCATTTCATTTAATCCAGCTAGTAGTAGCAGGTCAAATTTCTGAGCTAGCTGCTATCCCAGCAAGAGCTGGAGATTGAAGTGCAGCAGATGTTGCAAACCTTATTGAATGACATACCTTTTGGAAATAGCCATATTGACACATTTATTATTTATAACTTCATGTGCTTGACAGTTCCAGTGCAAGTGCCTATTATCATCACAGAAGAAATATTTCTGTCCCATATAGACAACAGCTGGTATTGGTTTTCATACACTCCATCAATACATGTACATTTTTTTATAATATCAAGAGAAGGAGCTGCTGCTGCTGCACTAACAGTTGTCTTTCATGATCTTGAACTCTTTTGAGCATATCTGGAACTCTTGTTTGATTAAAGGCAGTTGTAAGATTAAATGCTTTCTCCTCAAGCAGCCACTGGAGGATGGTATTAAATATTAGACAACTTATAAAAGAATTGGCTATAGCTGCTTCTTTACACTTTTCACCACTGACAGACCTATAATTACAGTCTCCACTCACATGTGCTAATGCCTACAGATATTCATCCAATATTTCCCCTGACCATTACTGACAGGTGGCTGATGAATTCACCTCATTTTTACACTTAATGTAAGACAAAGTCTACAAAGTATATACTACATAATGAAAAATTTACTTATATATGAAAGGAACAATATAGTTAATGAGTATATTCAGTTCATCAGGAGAATGTTGCTCAATAGCTTGGAGAAAATTGGATATAGCATACCAATGCTTCCACTCCTTAGCAGCAGAATTTGAATAAAGGCCGGTTTAAAAGATCTTAGGTCACAGGAACTTATCTATGGTTCAGATGTTCAAAGTCAGTTAAATTTTCAGTTTGAATAACATTAGATTTAAGGCTCCAAGTTCAAGAGTCATAGGACAATATTCTAGTAAATAAAAGTGTTGGTTCATGAGTTTGATGAAGAAATAATTGCAAGTTCAATGCCTGTGCTGTGTAGTACAAAATGGAAACAAAATGAGCAATAACTGAGCAGTATTAAATAAGAATATACAATAAACTTGGACATGGACAGTAGGGTAAGTTGGTTTTTCATATTTTTTTGAAAATCAACATTGCACTCAGTATGAAAGCTAGGGTTTTATATGATAAGTACTGACACCAAAAAATAGATTTATAACTTTTACCAATTTTTGAGCATCCAAAAAATGTACAGAAATACTTAATTTCTGTAGGTTTTTGCTTACAAGCTAACTTAAAGATTTTGCTATTTCAAGAATAAATCCAAAGAAAGTTGATATTTTTTGTATTAGATACATTGAAAGGAAAATATATTCAAACCAGAATTCTGATTATGAATCATCACAAGCAAAATATACAATTTTTTACTTTATTCAATAAGTAAAACCTGTGTAAAAAATTACAAAAAAGGATATTCAATGAATAAGATTTGTTAAACAAAAATTAGATAAAAGTGTATTTAACACCATAATACTGTTGGGCACAAATTATAAGACAAAATGTTTTAAATTTGCATTGTTTATTGAAAATCACACTAAAACTATTGCACTGTGTAACATATTACATCATAATATAGTTTGGTTTGTTTGTTTTATGGCATATCAACCTCAATGGGTTATTTAATGCCAACAAAATTTTCATTGTTGGTAATATTTTTTTTCAAAAAATCTATTTCTGGTAATATCTTTTCCTTCAAATATCTATTTCTGGTAAGAATTTTCCTTCGCTGGTAATATTTTTTTATTTTTTTTCAAAGAATGTATTGCTGGTAATAATTTTTTTATACAAAGTATTTCTGGTATTAAAACCTATTTTTACACTTTCATAGTGTTTTGATCCGAGTTTGGGGGTTAACTATTTGCCTATAGCTGGAACCCTAACTTATGTTACCACCCCAGATTAGAGTGAACCTGGGAACACCAGCAATTAAGAGGTGGTTCTATGCTCCTCAAAACCTGATCAGAGGCCTTGCTGTCAGATGTAGTTTATCATCTTACCAAGGATGCGGATGTAGTTTATCGTCATACCAAGGACGGACATCATAATATAAATGAATTGTTCAGTATAATATCCCTTTGAAGTAAATGAAGGTCTTATTGCATGAACTTTCAAATTGCATGAAATGCCACGGTTCCAAAATCAACCTACCCAAATGGACAGTGGAATGAAAACAATCTATTGTCATAGATGAAATAAAGGGTTCAGTTCAAAATTCTTTGAAGCTTACCTGGGTTGACAAACACCTGAAGAAGGTCAAAGAGCACAAAGGTCAAAAGAAAAATGAGGACATATGTCTGAAGCAACATTATAATCAGCTGTATTTTTTTTGTTGAATAATAATAAAACCAGAATATATCACTTAAGTTTTATTGAACATGGCAATATGTAGGCTTTCAGTAATAAATGAAGTTCCTTGATTTCCCACAAGAAACTGGTATTATATATATATATATCTATATATATATATATATATATATAAGGTCTTGTCAACTAAGATGCTACTCATTCCACACTGAATAACTGAAAGTGTCACTTTAATATAAAAGAGAACACAACATATAATGAACAAAATAACCACAATAACAAAAAATTTAGAGAACATACGCAATGAAATTGAAGAAAATTAAACTTTTGCATCCTATAAAAAACTGGAAATGTTAAAATTGAACACATCTTTTACTAAACATGCTCTTCATCTGGCAGCAAGGGCTCTGATTAAGAGGTTTCTAGAAGTGTGGAACCACCTCTTAGTTATTGTTGTTCCCAGGTCCATCTTCACCTGGGGTGGTAGCACCTGTTACGGTCCCAGCTATGGGCAAATAGTGACCTTCCTCCCACAAAAAGAAAAACAGTAAACAAATCATTTTATAGTAAAATGACTAACAATACATTTTTATAGCAAATTGACAATACAACACTAAAAAAAAGTATAAAAATACAAGCAATACTTGTAGCAAAATTACCAGAATGTATAGTCTATTTTGGTATCATCCGAAGTAATTCCAGTATATATCACGGTCACCATAGATCAACTGCTC